GTTATCAAATACCGAGGATATTGAATACAGTAAAATGAAAAATCCAACTCTCCAAGAGGCGCTCACAATAATACTTCGGTTCAACGTGATCCTACCAGTGGCTGCAATGATGCTGCTAGCGAAGTGTAGTTCGAAATAAAACCTTTCGTCTAATCTTAATGTGTCAAGCCATGCAATCAGAAGACTTCGTTGTTACGACTCCGTTAGTTCCATAAATTACGGTTGTTGTGTCTAGGTGATAAAGATTTGGCCATAGACTAATAATGTATAATCCATATATTGGCTAAGACTGACTCAAAGACGAACGAACCATGAAAAGATCGGTTAACAAGGCAATGGTACGTAACAGAAAAACGTACGGCCACGCGCTTAGTGTAGATGTATCTTGGGAACGAATATGCGGGCTGAAAAACTTAGTTACATACATGCAAACGCGTGTATCATATCATTCAGAGTGATAACCTGCCCACAGAGGTATGGACAATACATAGTGGTATAGGCTGAAATTAATTCCGAGTTCAGTTAAGGCCGGTATGAACTGGTCCGTATACCGGTACGGATGAACGGATTACTTTCATTGAACGGTAACAGACACATGATTATTACGCAATACTACCGTATCAGCACAGATATTCCATATCGCAAAGATAAATAATTAACATTAATACAGTAATTAAGAAACTGATCTAGACGTAACTGATAGATGAGTGTGAAAATCTGTGCTAGAAGTGTCGAAGTACGAAATAGAAAAAGCCGAACAGTCGATCTCACCCATCGTGATAGTTAGAACAGGCAGAAAGTGCACTAACACAAAGCGGCTACCATAAACGCACGACAACAAAATGTCATAGGCCAATAATACTATACCTCAGTCCACTTCCTTTCGTTCTTTTTCGCACGCATTTTAACCGCGCCGTTGTACGGCACGAACTCAGAGCTATGGAATGACGGTGAAGCATCTTGACTATCGCTTTCAGAGCCGATCGCGATGTGTTCGTGTACCACGGCTAAAATCACGAGGTATAATAAAGTGAAAGGTGGGAACTCGTTTAAGAAATTTATTTTACAAAAATTAACCAACTGAAAAAAATACCAAAAATGAACGGGTTTGTTATCACGGATTT